GATTAGGAAAGAGAGTAAAAGAACTCTTTGTCCGTTAGATTCATTAAATGTATTCATGCGTGTGTAAATGGTATAGAGGCTGTGCTGCTCGGGAATCAGATCCTTGTCCTAGGGTGGAGAGAAAGGTGAAGGGTGTGATATTTACTGCTTGTGTAAGTGTCATAATAATTGTGGATTCGATTCTTTACTTTTAAATGACCTTCCTGGGCATTAAGCCATTTTTTTGTATTTATCTTTTCCCTGCAGAGTTAGGGAGGGTGAGGAACCGCACCCTTGAAGTGGTGCAAGTACAGCTGTTCAGGATGTGAATGTGTAATAGAACAGGTCAGCAAAGGCGAAGGTAGCAGTAATACAGAAAGATGTTCTACAAGGAAGAAGACAGCTACCACGACGCATTAAAATGTTGCTTGAACCAGTATTAATTTTCATTACTGGGCCATTAAAAAACCCAAGGAATGTATTCAGGATATAAGTAGCTACTCTGTTCTTCCAGGAGAATGAAGAGTTATTTTGGATTTGCCGTCATTCAAACTTGGAAGTGCAGCAGAAGCACTTCAAACCAACTAGCAAGCGCTTTTAAATAAATACCTGTTAAAATACTAAATTTTCCCTGCACCAAACCAGCATCAGTTATACCATGGAGCTCTCTACATTTGGAGATGAAGTCTTGGCTCCAGTGCACCAAGGCAAAAGGTCCTGTGAAAGTGTGTCCGCAGCTGGAAGGAAAGTGCTGGTTGGCCACCTTACACCCACTTCAGTGAGACATTTCCGAGCTCAGTGGGCAGATCTCCCACTGATAGAAATAACGGCCTGTTACCGCCCTCTGGCCGTGCTGCTGCCAAGAGGCTTCCCTGAAGAGAGTTGAAGTTTGCAGGGGAAGGTCATTTGCCTGAAGATGACAACTCCCAGGGCACTGTCTGTGCTGGCTGTGGCACGCGTGTGGTGTTGTACGGAATTCCCAGAGCTTCAGGACTAGTGATTTTTCTGTCCCTTGAGTTGTACTCCCTAGCATGTGAGCAGGGTGTCCTTCCTCTGCCACCCTCCTCACTCCCTAAATCTGGGACGGCTCAGAGCCTCCTTTTGAGGCGATTTAGTTTACATTTCATCATAAAGTACTTAGCAAAACCACAAAACGTGTTTTAAAAACACATTCACCTCGTCAGCTGGTATCGCCGTGGGAGGTGTGAGTGGGCGCTTGGCATGCGTGTGCCTGGTAGGAAGTCAGATATTGCAGGACTTGGGCATAGAGAGAAATGCACTGCTTTTAGCACGTTCAGGCCTCTGACAAATGCTGAATGCTTGATTTGGTGAATTTTGAAAGCATTCATTTCCCCACCCCTGTAACCTCATTGAGTTCAACGGATCAAGTCAGGCTCGGGTTATACACACATGCGTAAATGATACCCTGTGTAACTGCCAACAGTATACAAAAACCCCAGCTCTGAATAAGGTAAATAAGTTCAACTTTAAATAAGGTTTGGACAGTGATGTGCAGGGCTGTGATTTGGTGAATTTTGAAAGCATTCATTTCCCCACCCCTGTAACCTCATTGAGTTCAACGGATCAAGTCAGGCTCGGGTTATACACACATGCGTAAATGATACCCTGTGTAACTGCCAACAGTATACAAAAACCCCAGCTCTGAATAAGGTAAATAAGTTCAACTTTAAATAAGGTTTGGACAGTGATGTGCAGGGCTGTTCTAAGGATTGTCGGCGCTGAAGCGGAGTCCAGAGTTTATCCCAGTGGTAATGGAAGAAGGTACAGGGATTTAAAACAAAGGTATTTTAGTACGTGGCGTTATGAAATAATCCACGTGAACATATTTACGTGAATGAAGTTCATTAAACACCACATTGGGCACGCCTCTGCGAGCTACAGCTCTTCCAGGGGCCTTTGGAATCATGACGGATCATTCTGTGCTTTCTAACTCCGCTTTAGAATGCTGTAAGTTACAAAGCATCTTAGGTCTTGTATTTCATATATTTACAAGAGAAACCATTTCTTTTGGTAGGAGATGTGTTCCCTAATAAGGCTTCTGTTCTGCGTAGTAAACAAGGTATTTACAAACCACAAATAACAAAGTAGAAGCTGCAGAAGGGTTATGGTGTGATAATGAAGTACAATGGCGACCCATATGAACAGAAAATGCCAGGGAGCTAAAACAAAGCAACAACAGCTTTGTTTGTTGACAGATGTAGGAGCCATATTGTTAGTTAATTGGGTAATGGTGTAAACATTTGCAAACTCTGCTGTCCCTCGGTGAATTAAGCAGCACGCTGAAATTATGGTGCAAAGCTGCACCGTCCTTTTGCTGCAGGTACCCACGATGCTTTCAGCTAACCGTGCAGGCGTGAAGACGCTGGGGAAGGGGCAGGGGCATCCTGCGCTATTATTGTTTAAGGTGCCTGAAGCCTGCCAGCCGTAGAGTTCAGACTAGGGTGTGTGGCTTCAGTTGCACTCCAGTGAATAACAGGTTTCCGTACGGATACAGGCTGGAAGGTGTGTTCATTGCCTAGCTTTGCTTTTCAGATTATTCTTTTGTTTCCACATGTGGAAGAGCCTTGCTCTGTCGTTCCTAGCTTCCCTTGCAAAAAACAAAGGTCGCAGGATTTGAAAACAGAGAGGTCTAATTAGATACTGGCTTGAACGGAAAAGACGGAAAATTGCTGCTGAGGTGCCGAGTACCTGTGCTGTGAGCTGCAGAGACCCCTGCTTACCTCACCTGCGGTCCCTGTGTGCTGTCATGCGCTGCAGCAGGGTACCAGGACGCTTCAGAATGCAACAGGATACTTCATTAGCGTGCTTCTCCAATCGCAAACTTTAACACGCCACTGTGGCTGTTTTCTGCGTAACCGGTTTGCTTTCTAAGGGAGAAACCTTTCAGGAATTTAAGCAGCATCTCTGCA